CTCTCTCTCTCTCTTTTTTAACTTGCTTCATTCAAGAAACACACATTAGCACTACTGTCTCATATATGCCTCACTGACAGGGTGACATGAACAAACACATTAAGCATGCAAGGATGCCACACCCATGCTCCGTCTGCTCTGCCACTGTCCTCATACTCAAGTCTTTTTCCTAACTAATCCTTCCCTGCAACAGTGACAGCTAGCTGCGATTGGTTTGTCCTGTCAGTATTCATGTCTGCCTACATGTTAGTCTGACTCGGGGGATGTACTGTAAGTGGTATTAATACTGTGTGTGTGTCCATCACCGTGCAGCTTGGCAGGCCATTGTGTTTTGCTGTTGTGTAATGCTCAAGCTTCAAGCTCTTTTCCATGCAGTCTGCACCCCACTCAGGGTTCAGCGGTGTACTACATATGCACGCATGCACTGCAGCAAAACATTAGCTATTTATAGCTCTGACCCACAAGGACAAAAAAAGCTTCTTGTTGAATTGATCTTCTTCTGTGTCATGTCTTGCTCATTCATACCTGCTTTTTTTGAAAGAGCGATGATGCAAAGGTGGGGGATAAAGTGAGTAGAAGAGATTGCATGATTAGAAAGCAGCAGGGAGTCAAGAGGTTGAAGGAATGAGTCAGTGGTGCAGAATAGGCAATAGAGGGAAGTAGGGAGTGGTTTGACGAGCACACGGATGTGAATGCTTTTGTGTTTTTAATATGTGCGAGAATGCACTTGTAGCGGGAGGTCCTCGGGTAGTTCTCCAGCACTTAATCTAATTTCCAGTTTTACTCATTTTTATAGATTCAGGTGAATCGGTGGAGTCTGTAATACCTATATGTACATTTTCTCCTGTTGCACCTGCATCTGTCTAATCGCAGCGGAATAACGTGGGAGAGTTAAAGATGAATCAGTCTGTGAAAACATTCTTTGAATGAATTTTATATAATCTGTTGTTCTTCAGTGGTGTAATTGGAGGCTTGTAGGCGAGACCGCTATGTAGGTGGGGAGTCTACTGTATGTGTTTGCATACTGAGAGAAAATGAATGGGATTATATTGATCTGAGTGGGACAGAGTGTAGCTGCTCAGACAGACCCAGGTGGTTCCGCTCTGCCTGTTTTACAGTCCGCTCTGATTCACTACGATCTGCTCGACATCTCTTTGGTCGAGTATAACGATCTTTCTGGAAACTGCTGTGACCCTCGGCAGCCGTTAATAACGTGCTAAGAATAGTTTGCAACTTGTCAATCGTTTCTGAGCTCAGTGGTGGCGACAACAGGGCATGCATGCAGCATGTGTACACCCGTATAGATTCGTGTGTGTGTGTGTGTGTTTTCTTTATGTGGGCTAGGTGGTCTGTAAGTATGACTCATCCACTCACTGCTATAAATTAACAACAGCACTACAACGACTTGAAGCTACAGCTTGATCCTGTACACATGTGCAGTTGCTGCATTTGTCCCTTTTTGTGGGTGGAAATGTGCAACTGTTTAGAAGATAATTCTTTGTGGATATCTTGGGAAGGACTGATGAAGCTGTGTTTTTGAAATGGGGAAAATAAGAATAGCGTTTGTGTGGCTGGACACAGTAGATGTCTGTGGTCAGACTAACTGAACTTTCTTGAGGCTTCCATCTGTCATTTACTCTGACAATACACAGTGTGAACTGCTTGTCACTGCCATGCACAGTGGCATTATGTGAACAGGCTTACATGTCCTCGTACAGTAGGTCTTTGTTAGTGTAGGAGACAAGTGAAAGGGTGGGGGCGCTTATGGATTGACATAGACGGAGAGAAGAAGTGAATAAATATGGAGTTTGAGAGTCAGTGGAACGGGTTGAAGATCCAATTCAAAAGAGAGGGATCTGTAAAGGATATTTCACTATTGATAATGAAAATATTGGTTGAACTAATGCATGCAGGCTCAGAACTTGAACGTTCTCTTTTGTTCTAGCTACAGATTTCTTTCTTTATCTTTTTCTTCCTTCCTTTTTACATCTCCATTTTTTCTTTTATGCGTCTCTCCCCTGCAGAGGAGAAGCAGGCCGCCAGGATGAAGGAGGAGAATTTGTTTCATCGGAGGTATTCGCTGTGCCCCAGTGCCACCTCCCCGCCCAAAATTGATCCCCGCACCCTCACCAGGAACCTCTCTTATGGAGGAGACAACGACTTCTACAACCTCAGCCCAGGTACAAGGTCGAGCTGTCACAAGTGACAAAACGTGATATTTTGTGAAATAGCGGATTCCAGTGTCTGGGAAAGTATGGCGCGCTGTGGTGAAACATGCTTATGCCGTATTAATCAGCAAACCTCAGCTGCTCTTTCTTAACTGCTTTGTGCACTGCCATGCTTTAATTGTTTGTCAGCAAGTTTTTTCATTTATATGTGACTGTGTGTTGTGGGTTCCCACCAGGCAGTGAGACAGACAGGAATGGTCTCTCCATGCTGAGTAATGAACTTAGTCCTGTCTTATCACCAGGCAGCAAGGTAAGAACTCAGTTCCTGATTGGGCAGGTCCTCAACAGTTGACTATTAATGTCTCATTGGGTGAGAGCACATTGTTGACTTTTGTGATGACTAGTTCTCTCTGATTGCTCATAGTTGTAGCAGAATGAGACATCTGTGGGAATTTTATTATAGGGAAATCCAGCAGTTGTTTAGGCTTATTTTTGGGGGGGTGGTTAACAAATGGGTCACTAAAAAATATAGAAGGAAGGGAAAATTTTACATTGTGTTTAAACAGCACCAACACAACAAGAATAAATATAAAACTGTGGGATTTGAAATCTCAGGCCAGTGGTGGGAACTGTGCTTTAGGACCACAAGCCATGTATTTGAGTCCCAGACCTATTTTGCCCCGGTGCTGTTTATGTTGTATTAGTGCTAACTATCCTATCTGTTTCCATCCTTATAAATATGAATTAGGAGTGGTAAATAAACATTTCCAGTGGCAGTGGGTAATAGTCCTGTCTCGTCTCCTCTCCTTATGTCGCTTTGCCTCGTCTTGCAAGATTGCCATTTTATATGTGCAATAATTCACATGCACAGCTGCGTCACCCCAAAATACTGAGAATAGCCTTCCCCTCGAATGATGTCATTTACCCTGGATTGTCGTCGTGCACCACATTTGAAAAATGGCTTTCTCTTTGGATGTTACAGAACGCCTGTGTGGGCTCGATGATAATATTGGGTTAGTGCATATAGAACAAGTGGTTAAGTAACTGCACATCACAGTGAAATTGCAGATTACTTACCACTGTGATTCTAATGTCTGTTTACTTCAGTTCACCCTTTGTTGTTTAACCAAGGAAGTTAGTGGGTGTGTGGTCAAAGCACCACAAATGACTGCCTGCCAAGTTTCCTTGCTGATTGAAAGGGCCACCCACCCCTCTTTACAAACCTTTGAAAACAGTAAGATATTGGGCCGTTCCCAACTAAAACAAATAAGGTTATTTAAACTTTTATTAACCACAGATTTACGTAAATTAAAATCCCTCCCAACAGGATTATTTGTCCATCGTTTAAGTCTGTCTTTCCTTTCTGTCTTAACTCCCGCCTCCAGTCTGAGTCCAGGATGTTTAATGGTGTTGAGAAGGACTGCCCCTCCCCCACCGAGAAGCTGGCCCGGAAGGAGTCGCTCAAGGTAGAGGTCACATCCTTGCTTGAGATGGTCAGCAGCTGTGTTGACTCATGTGCATGCTCATTTTAAATGTTGCAGTATTCAAATATTTAAATGTTTACTTTTGATGTGAAGTCTTTGAATGTTGAATGCTAGAGTTAGTTTGACTCTGCTTCCACCTAGTGTTAAAACTTTGATATCAGTCCTTTGTTCAGTTCTGATCGTTCATTATTGTTTCCTTTTGTTTTTATAATGTTCTAAAGGTCCAAAAGCAGAATTATAGGCAAGAGAAGAAGCGAGCAGCTAAAGAACTGTCCACTGCACTTAAGGACCCCAGCGTCATCATCATGTCCAACTGGTTAAAGGTGTGACACTATGGCAGTAACAGCCAGGATAATAATTGACCCTGTGCACGAGAAAATGCTAACTTCCTGGTTTGAGACCGGATGTAGGGTTGTACATTTC